AAGCCTTCCTGGGAATCTGGGGCATTACCTTGAAATCAAACACATTAATATTTCTCCATTGAAAGCTATTCCTATTTACACCAAAAAGAATCACTGGACTACAAACATTCTAATGTCAGATCAGGTCAGATGTCACCATCATATAAATTTTACCAAAAAACTTTGCTTTCAGAGCTTTTTATATATCAGAATTGTGGATAAGACATTGTGGACCTATACATGCAGAGAGTTCCACATATCACCTTTTTTTTTAACATCTCCCTAAATAACTCATTTTCTTTAAAGATTTCCTGACTATCAAAATGCAAGTTTTAAAGAAAACTAATCTCCTTTATGCTATAAATGGCAAATCCTCAATCCATCCACAAAAAAATGTATAAAACAATTTTTCAACTTTTATTCTATTTCATTATTATTTATAATACACTCCATTATTACATAGTTGGAAAAAATACACATACAATTTTATTCTAACTAGGCAAATAACTAGCAGCAAGCTGAGCTTAAGCACCATAAGAAATATTTTCATATAGTTTACAAGTATAATGAAATTGATCAAATCAAGTGTTTTGTGTTCTACACCACAGAAAATTACAGAGGAATTTTTAATCACCTCTGCCCATCCACACAAGTCTTGAGTAACAGTTTACTCAAGTCTAAGTCCTACAGGTTATTATGACTGTTCACTCTTTGAAAGAGTAAAATAAATCAAAAACACAGACTTTTAGAAAGACATATTTCCAGCATAACACTAAAACACAATTCTTTTTACCATAACAGGTAAGCAGTTTGAAAAGCTGAGTCTTGACAACAAAACACAGGTATCTACTCAAAGGTTTCAAACACTACAAAAGCATATCACTGAAGATTCCCCTTAAAAAAAAGGCGTTACAGAAACAAACCTCTCTAGAAACTCTATTTTTAATAACAAGCAGCTCACAATCTACAACCACAAAAGATATATATATATTAATATTTATTCTCTTCAGATTAACTTAAGGACCTGCATAAAGCAATGAGCTTCTGCAGAGAAACAAGATAATGTACTCTACACAATAATATAGTCTTGGAATCCAGCTCTAAGCTTGATGATTGCTAGCACTTTTCTGATGGTAAGAAAACTCAAATGATAATGCTACTAACCAAAAATTAAGATGCAAGAAATAGTTGTAAATAAAACCATTTTCCTTTTTAAAAGGAAATTTAAAGCAATTAACTAAAAATATGCCTAATGCACGCAGAAGTGAACTAAATTTAATGAGCATGAGTACCAAGCACTAAGCTAAGCACTTCACTTGTTATCTCATGTAACTGTTATACCTTGTAGGTCCAGCCTACCAAAAACATCCTACAGTAACTTCTGGTATACTTCATCTTCTTGCTCTTATCATCTTAGGCAATTTACAATTTTCAGTGATAGTTTCTTAGCTCTTGCATGAAGTAACTAAATTTCATGGCTATGTTTGTATTAGATTATATTCCTTTAAGTCTTCTCTGTTAAAGCCAAAATACTTATTTTCTATAGCAAAACCAAAAGAAAGGCCACATGAATTAAAACAATGATCAACTGTAAAATGCAACCTAAATGGTAAGGTTTCAAACCTTTAAGGTGATATCTGCCATTATTTCATCAGTATTTCAGGAAATATAAGTTTTTATAACATTCTTTTAAAGATTAATTTGCAGTTTTAGTTTGGAAAGATGAAAAGGTTCTGCAGATGGATAGTGGTAATCACTGCACAACAATATGAATGTACTTAATGCCACTGAACTGTACACTTAAAAATGGTAAATTTTATGTTATGTATATGCTACCACAATGAAAAACTTGATTTGTTCTAATATTTTATACAGTTAAATATACATACTTTAAAATTAATTTATTATAAAAAGGTTTTTAAATTTTTTTTCAGTTTATCAATTTGCAACAGAGGCACCAGGAACTTTGCTCCAAAGAGTAAGGGACACCTTTTGGCTTGGTAAGATTTACTGCACCTCACAACCATAACATTTAATCAATTAAAAGCAGCAATAACAGTCTATGAAGTCATCAGCAAGTGATGTCAACTCTCATATCAGTAATATGTCACCTTAATAAAAGTATATCTTGGCTATATTAAGCACTCAATAAATGAATGGACTAAATTGTTTAATAAGCATGTGAAATGTTTCATTTTTAAAAATACCATTCATTTTATTAAGAAATATTTTAATAAAACAAAATGTATGATCTTGTTACACTTGTAAACACTTCAGGCTCAAGTTCATAATAACCCTAAAAATTATGATTAATATCACTAAAGATCCAAGAGATGAAAGTAAAGTATAAAATATTTCTATCTGGGATTGAGTATGAACCTGATGAATACTTGAGATTTGCTGTACTATTTTTAACTGAATTTTCTGGCCTTAGGTCAAAGTTTTGCTAGCAAATACCAAAGTGAAAATGCTGGGAGTGAAGCCCAGAGTCTCTGCTTTAACCTAGGAAAATCTATGCCCTCCATGCAACCAATCTTAGTCCCAATTAAAGACTTCCACAGACTGTCCAAGATGTCACGCTCCCAAGAGAAGATAGGAAGAACACAGGAACCCGAAAATCAGTATTAAAAAAGAAAAAAAAGACAAACATGTATGATACAATACAGTACATCACTGCCTTCTGTGCATTGCACAGAAAGACACACACTCTTCAGTTAGTTCCTGCATTTTGGCCAAACAGGACTGAGTCACTCAGCAAATGATTCCTGAAACCTCAAAGGATAACCAACAGCCTCTGAAGAAAAGTCAGGCAGTCCTTGTAAAGGGAGGAGAGACAGTTTTTCTCATCACATGGTGACTAGGTTTATCCCAGCAGGGACTAGAACTGAACATCTGCATTTTGGCCCAGAATGTCTAAGGGATCTAAGGATCACCCATCCTAATTCAAGTCTTCCAGAGTTAATTTAATATCCAGAGTATCTTTTTCACTTTCTTCTACTCCCCAGGGTAAAAGTCCACACCACCTTTTCCCATAAATGCACGCTAATCATCCTGTCTGCGAAATACCATTGTCAATCCTAACAAAAATAAGGAATAAGCCAGCATTCTACTGTGCATTTCTAATTTGTAAAACATGTTCCTTTCTTAATCAAGAGCCAATTAGCAGCCTTTACTTGGCTATTAATTTGGATTTCAAAGGCCGTCTTTGTAAAGAGATACACAATGAAGGGGAGAGATTTATTCCACTCTACGATTCAGACTGATTTTTGGGCTCTGGCACAATAATCTCGGGAAATTAAATTTACAGAAATTAAAATGTCCTAAACTACAACTACGGAGTGTTTAAAGGCAATTAAAAACAACAAAACTTTAGCTATGCGTTCCAAGATTTCAAACTAAAAGGAAAGTGAGGGCAGCTTTCTGTCATGTACCCCAGATGGATACTTCCAATAGGGACAGCATCAGGTTTCTTTCTCCCTTGCTTGCACTCAAGTCCCCACGCAGCATGACACTCTTTCAAATCGGCTAGTCTGGTGTATGAAGAATGGGCCGTCCTCCACCCTATCTCCCCAGAGTGGGTAGGCGGAAGGCAAAGAGAGGTGTTTCCTCCCAGTGCTGGAAGAAAGGAGCAGCCGGGGATGACACCAGCTCCAACAGGAGGTATAACAGAAGGAAGGAATCAAAGGCGGGTCACTACTCTTGGAACTTAGTCGCAGGAGCGTTTGGTCTCCGGCCTCAGCTGCCGGAAGCTGGGCGGGGTGGGGTGAGATCTCCCCACCCCACGGATGGATGGGCACAGAGGGGTGGCAGAGGGGGGATCAGAGGCATGAGCTGGAGCGGGAAGGGCTCCCAGGCCCGGGCCACCTACCAGCAAGCTCTCCACGTTGATGGGAGAGCGAGGGTCTCGGATCAGCGCCTCCAGCTTCCTCTGGCGGCCCGCGCCGGCCCCGTCCCCCGGCACGGTCTCGGGGGCGCCGGGCATTTTCCCCGTCGGCGGGGGCCGGCTCATGCCGCCACCACCGGGCCCGCACTCCGGCTCCTCGCGCTGGGGTCCGGCAGCCTCGGGGCCTAGCGCCGCCCCCGAACCACCGGCTCCGGGCGGGGCTCTGCCCCGGCCCACCGCCCGCCTCTAGCTCGGGCTCCGGGTCTCCGCGCCCGTCCGGGGCCCAGGGGCTGCTGCGAGGGGCCCGCCCGGCCCGGCCCGGCCGGGAGCGACGAGGCACAGACGGCGTCCCCGCCCCTCAGTCAGATTCGCGCCGCCCGGTCCGCTGGTCCGCCGCGAGCTCCAGCAGGACGCCGCGGGCGGGAGCGGGGAAGTGGCGGCGCCACCGCCGCCGCCCTGACCGCCCCACCCTCTGGGGCCCCGGGAGGCTGAAGCCCAGGCGTGAGGGACTACGGCCGCCGCCAAGCCGCTGCCATGGTCGCCTCCAGCCGCCTCGCAGTCCCGCCGCCCCGCGCCCCTCACACGCACTCCCGCGCGGCGGCCCGTCTCCGGCCGCGCGCGCCGCTACCCACAAGCCCTTCCGCCCGCGGCCGCCGGCGCGCGCCCGCTCGCCCGCCCGCCCGGCGCCCGCGCGCCGCCGGCCTCGGCTCGCCGCGCTGCCTCTTTCTTTCCTCCAGTATGCTCTGCTTCGCTCTGTCCTTTGCACCCCCTTCCCCCGCTTCCTCGTTCGGGGTCCTGAGAGGCGAAGGCGCCGGGCCCGCGGCCCCTGCCGAGCCCTCGTGGGGGAGGGGCGGCGCCCCCGCCCGCGCCCCTCCCGCCTGACCCCGCCGCGGCGACGACCCCGTGGCCTCTGAGGCGGTCCCCCGCCGCCGGGGAGGGGGCCGGGGAGGACGGGCGGGCCCGCGCCCCCGGCCCCGCTGACTCAGCGCGCAGCTATGCGGGCCTTGCATCACCCGCGCCGGAGCCGCCGCGACCACCGGCCGCTGCCCCCGCGCGCCCGGCTCTGCCTCGCGGGGCCCCCCGGGCCGCGGGGCGTTTGGCGGGAGGGTGGGAGAGGCGCCCGCGTGCGCTGGGCGTCGGGAGTTCGGGAAGGGCAGAGGCGGGTGGAATCCTAGGCCTGGGGCAGCAGGGCCCGCGGTGTCGAGAACGTTTCTGCCGCTCCTCGGCAGTCACCTCCCCGCCCGGGCTTAATCGCTAACCGCGTCGAGGGAGCGGGAGAAAAACACTCGCACTCCGCAGGCTTTCGCGGGGTCCTTTCCTTTGGGGGGGCGGAGGGGGGTGGTCGTCGGTGCCGCCCCCCACATTCCTGCCTTCTCGAGGCCCGTGCCATTGGTCACATCCGCCCAGGGCGCAATATGAAAAATATGTGCCAAGAGCTGTAAAACTGTCCATAGAGCCCTTTTGACCCAGTAAACCCATTTAAGGAAGTACATTTCTAAGGAAATGATCCAAAGGGGGAAGGGGGGTGGAACTTGCGGAAAGATGTTTACAGCAGGGCTATTCACAATGTTTGTAATGACCAGAACCTGGGAATGGACCCAATTTGTCCAACAATTGAATACTCCAAGCAAGCTCTGTCGCATTACAGGAAGAATCCTGGCAGGTATGCGGACTGTGTCAAGCACATGAAATTTTGGCAAGTACATGAAAGGTGTGTTGGAAATAAAGTTAAATGAAATAAAACAACCACAAAATAGTTTGTGCACACTATTTAAGGCTATGTAAAATGAGCAGCAATAAGAAACAGAGGAGAATACAGTTGTATTTTAAGTGAATGGGATTTTTTTCGTGCGTAAAGACACTTAAGAGCACGTTAAAATTTCAAAAATTGAAATGTTGTATTGAGATACTTGAGCCACTCCAAAAAAGCCACAATCTGATAGCTATTAAGTAATAAAAATGTTGAGAACCTTCTCACTGGCATGTCAGAGATAAGTCCACCGATAGGCCAAAGCCCTAACCTTGCAAATGTAGCATTTTAATCATTAAGTGTTCTGAGAGCCTCTTTTGTTTTGGGTTAAAGCCACCCTTACTTGCACTTAGGCAGGAAGAGGCCTTAGATGATACAATACAGCTTTTTCATTTCAGTTAGTAGCACTGATTTCTGGTCAAAAGGTAAGTCATTTAAGTCTGTGTGTTGAGTTATTCATTTATACCTCCACAGACCTCACCAGGAGGACAGAGTAAGACACTCCTCCTATTGAGCATTGGAGCAAAATAATGAGATAATCCATGATTACAGATTCTTATTTCAGTAGCTATATAATATGCAAGGCAAAAGGAACATTAGGTGATTCTCAGTTTCCAAATTATTTTTGCAATGACTAGGCTGTATATTTCTGTGGAGTTTGGAGGGATAACAGGATTCTCTGGTCCCGAACACTGGACATGGAAACCTTATTTCAAAAGAAAGAGTAGTGATCAACAAGCTACTATGCAGGGTACCTTCTTCATATGGTTATTTACATAGACCAGAAAAAGCCATAGTATAACAGATCTTCACCCAAGATCTGTACCATTGTTTACCAGGAAGATGAAAAGGCTAATCTTTTCTTCTTGAGCTAAAAATTGGGGGGGAGGGGTAAAGAGAGGGGGTAAATACAACACCTCTTGTTTTACAAAAGTAATGCACGAATGCATTCTTGTAAAAGTTCAAACAGACCAGAAATATATAGAACATAATCTGAAAAATTACTCTCCCACATACATTCTTGTATCATTCCAGGCCTTTATCCATCCTCATACATATACATATTTGCATATACACATGTATCTTTTTCCCACATATATGCAATTATACCATATCATAGTATTTTGCATCTTGATTTTTCCCTCAATAATATCTTAGAGATATGTCCATGTCCGTTGACAGAAATCTAACTCATTCTTTTTAACTGTTGTACTCTAGTCCATAGTATATGGCTGTACCACACTGTATTTACTCTCTGTTAGCACGGTGGTTAAGAACAGACCTCTATAAACAATTGTCTGGGCTAAAATCCTGCCCCTACTACACACCAACTGTGTGACCCTGAGCAAGTTACCTAACTTCTCTGCATCTCTGTGTCCTTATGTTTGCTATAAAGTGCTTTGAAAGTATGTTGGCCCTCACTAAATGATTTATATTATTAGTATTTTCTAATTTTTCCCTGTCACAAACAATAATGCCATTGACATCCTTATATATTTGCCTTTGTGTGGAAATATTTGAAGAGTATAGATCCCTAAAAGTGAAATTGTTGTAACAAAGGGTAGGCATACTTTAAATAGTTACAGATACTGCCAAACTGTCCTTTAGAAAAACTATGCCAGTTTACGTTCTCACCATCAGTAGAAGAAACTGCCCATTTCCCACTATGACAAAATTAAATATTACAATTTTTTACATTTTTGCCAATGGGCAAAAAAGATGGCATCTTGTTTTAACTTGTCTTCCCTTAATTACTACTAAAGATGGGCATTTTGTGTATCTGTTTCTTCTCAAATCTCCTGTTTATATCTTTTGTCCATTGGTTTTTGCCTCTTTCTTAGTGATTTACAGGAGTTCCTCATGTATTATGGATAGTTCTCCTCATTATAATATCTTTGTTAAAATATGTTATAGTTTGCAAATATGTTCTTCCAATTTGTTGCTTGTCATTCAGTTTGGTTTTGGTATCTTTTGTCACAAAAGTTTTTACCTTTTATTCAGTCAAATCAGTCAATATTTTCCTTTATGGCTTCTGGATTTTGTGTCTGGGCTGGGGAAGATTTCAAACCCGGTTTGAAATTGCAACAGGCTATATAAAGGAAATGTTAGGAAATGGCAGTTCTAACACTATCAGCTCAGCTCATCCCAAATTAGCTACAGAAAGGGGCTCCATGTCCATGCTCTTCTCCGAGGGGTCTGCTGCCCTCATTCTTGCTGCTCTGCAACTGTGTCCCATGTCAGCTGCTTCTTTTCAACATTGTCTCTGGGGTATGCTGAGCACAGGTGAGACAGGCAGGGACTTGGACAAAAACTTTCGTTCAATACTAAGGAAGAACAATGGGGAAATAAGCCCAGAAAATCCAGGGCATTTAAACAGGCTGGCCAATCGGAGCATAAGGCTTTGATTCTACCACAACTTGCTTGCTCTGCAGGACTTAAAAGCTCCACCCCATTTCATATGAATTTTGTCTGTGATTCTTTTGTCCATCTCTTCATTCCCAGCCCTTTCTAAGTGGTTGGAGTCAATTTAACAGCCATTACTCAACAATGCCTTCCCAGCCCTCCTGAGGCTTCTGTCCCAAACCCAGGGCCCAGGCTTCCCTCTTTGGTCTGAGGCCTGTCTCCTCCGTTCTAGTTTTTGATTTGAGGGATCTGCTTCTTCCCCAAGAATTAATTTAGCCTTCAGATGCAAACTCACCCTCTCCACCCACAGATAGGGCTGCAAAAGGATCACTTTTTTGTCTTTCAATCTAGCTCTTAGTAATTACTTACTTGTTTAATGATAATAATTATTATTTTAAGGGCTTACTATGGGCTAGGCAGCATTCTTTATAGAAATTATCTTAATTCTCCAAACAGCCTTTTGCTAATGGTAATATTATTGTGCCCATTTTACAGATGATGTAATGGGGACTCAGATATATGCAAATGGAATGAATAAATGAATTAACAAATGGATAGATGAAAACGATGAGCTGTGAATGGTCTGGCCATCATGGATAAAACACGTAACAACTTTTCCCGTCTTGCTTCACACCACCAAGCAACTCAGACTGGAGCTGTTGTAGTGAGACGCCTCTGCCCACATAAGCCAGGATTTAATAACAGAATAAAGGAATGGACTCTCAATACAAAGATGTCATTATCTTTGTAAACTCCACTACTACAAAGGATACAGAGTTTAATGGTTTATAAAATAGACTTTCATCCTAAGTTTCATTCATGGTTCTGGTCATAATTCCCAGGGTGAACGAGTAAAGCACTGAACCCCTCTGTGAGTCAGTTTCCTCATACACAAAACAGAAATAATGACGCTTGGTTGTCATTAAGGCTTCTTAAGATCCCCAGATGAAAGATACTGTATTCATCCAAGACATATTATTCATCAGCATACTATGAAAGAAAGACTCTCAGAGGAGAAAGATCTGGCCATGGTTCAGCAGTGTGCTCAGAAGTAAATGGTAAGTCACTCCAAAAATGTATACATCGTAGACATATGTTTCGGAAGAAATGACTGGATCCTGGAAAGCTAAGCTTAGACTCCAGCTCTGCTAGTTTGTGGAGAGACCTTGACGTCATACCTGGCGATCTCATTTTCCCCATTAGTGAGATAGAAATGGTGCCAGGATTCTCCATGTGATTTCCCTACTCAAAAACCTTCACTGGGTCTTCTATGATTGTGCATGAAATCCTCAGCTTAGAATTCAGAGGTTTCTACAGGAGTCCACAGCCTTCCTTTACAGACTTTTGTTCCAGTGCTCCTCTTCACTTTTTCTCAAAATGAAGCACACATAACTCTTCCCTCTTTGGTGAAGCCACTTTCCTGCCACGTGGAATGGCACCTCCCAGCCCATCTCTGCCCGTTGAGCTCCTGCCCATCCTTCAAGAAGACCTCCTCTTCCTTGAACCATGGCTTGATGCTTACTGAGTTCTGGATCCCCTGTAGCTTTTAAAAAGATATTTAGCAAGGTGCTTGCCTCAGATACATGAGAAGAGCAGTGTCTTTATTCTTCTTTCAATGTTTTTGACATCCAGAAACTTGGGTCTGTTATATGTCCAGAGTAAGTTAGCAATTTCAATTTCCCATTGTTTGCCATAAAGAGTGTCTTCCTGCTATTCCACTCTCCGAGCACTCTGGTCCAGCAAAACTATAAACTGTGTGGGATGCATTATCCACGGGAGAGACCACGCCATTGCCACCTCTGCCTTTGCTGGAACTGCTGAATCTTCTTGTAAATTCAGCTTGAGCACTGTGCTAAGTTCTTTGGCAGATACAAAAATAACTGACTATGGGTTATTCCTACACAGAGTTTGCAACCAAGAATTGTTGATTCAAGCTGGGCATGGTGATGTGTACCTGCAGTCCCAGCTACTTGGGAGGCTGAGGCAGGAGGATCCCTAAGCCAAGGAGTTTGAGTCCAGCCTGGGCAACATAATGAGACCCTGTCTCAAAAAAAAAAAAAGAAAGAAAGAAAGAAAGAAAGAAAGAAAGAAAGAAAGAAAGAAAGAAAGAAAGAAAGATTAAATTTAAAAAGCCTGTTGATCGGATACTCAATTTTTTTAAATGGCTGAATATATAAATGAAAAAACACAAATCATCATAATTCAAGAACCATATGTGCCCAAAGAAATTCACAGATAACATTGCTATGAGAACCCAAAGAATCCTGAAGCAAGAGATGTCTTTTAGCAAAGGGATCAGAAAAAGGAGGTGGCATGTGACCTAGTCCTTAGGGTTCAGCAAGGTTTGGAAATGGAAAGAGAGAACAGTCCTCCAGGCAAAATGAGGGAAGGAGTGGGAAAGTATGAGTAAATAAAAGGAAAAAAAAAAATGATGCCTAGAGAACGGGACACACAGTGGTTGGACCGAGAGTGGGTAAGTGAAACCAGATCAGAGGAGGCCTAGAGGCTGCACTGGCTTGCAATGTGACGTCAAAGAAGCCACTGCAGTCCGGTCCTCCAGGACTCACTGTAACCGAAGCTGTTGGCATAGGATGCCATCCAGGTCTCTCCAGCTGCACCACCCTCTGATTCCGCAGCCCTGTGTGGCAGGCGGGAGGGACCTCTCAGCGGTCATGGGCAAGGTGGGGGTGGGACTTGGAAAGAGTCCTCAGTCCTCAGCCGCAGAGTGGAAGAATGCCAGTTTAGAGGGCATGTTACTAATCCACAGCCCACTGTTTGTAATTAGGTAGTTTATGATCATGATCGATTAAAAACTTACAAAGCATACAAAAAAGAAAGCTGTAGTTTGAGTGATGGGTCATTAGAATGCAGGAATATACTTAGTTTCCATAAAAGCCTGCCTTGTTGTGAAATGAGGAAACACTTTAAACTTCCTGGCCTTTAGAGTGGCACTTTGATGGCTACGGCTGCCCTCGGGATATTCCATTTGCTGCTTTGGCCTCTAAGCACAGTCGGGGCCTCCGTGGAGTGAACCAGAGGAGGCCGGCGCGCTGCGGGTGAGAGCTGTGTGCCAGGCGCCCGGGCTGGTCGAGGCTCTGGGCAGGATGTGACAGTGGGGATGACGGCACTTGTAGTAGAGTCAGAGAGTCAGAGACACCTCATTTCAGGCCTAGCTCTGCCTTTTCTAGCTGTGCAGCCTTGAGCACCTCTGTGAGCTTCAATTTCTCTGTTGGGATTTTTATAAGGAACACATAAAAAGAAGGCTCATACGGCATCCAGCATATTGAACAGGTGCTCTGCATAGGCTAGCTCCTTCCCGCCTGGCAGAAGCTGACAGAATTCCAGGCATTGTCTCTTTCATGTATTCATTTTTTTCATTTATTCACTCAACAAAGAAATGTATGTGCTGGTAACACAATGGTGAACAACAGAGAAATAATCCCTGTTGGCCCTTACTAGGCTTATAATCTAATGGAGGGGACAGATATTCAACAGCCATTTATTGGCTGTGTGACTTTAGGCAAGTCACTTAACCTTGCTGAGCTCTGCTTCCTCGGTGGTAAAAGCTATACCACAGAGTTGATTTCAATACTAAAATAAGCAAATGTATGTGCAGGGGCTACACGAGTATGGGAGTCTGGATACCGCTGCAGTCTTTTCTCTGACGTCCTGCAACAGCCTCCAGCTTGGGCTCTGGACGTGGAAGAGGAGGGACAGGGGGTGTTAGGATGGCCCTCAGGTTTCACCAGGCTTCATCAGCAAAGTAGCAAAGATTGATTATTGTATCTGAATGCTGCCAATTTATTTTAGGGTAGATAAAAATAAATGATTTAAAAACAAACAAAATCAGAAGCAGGTTAATCCATGGTGATTCTTTTGCCCTTTTCCAGAAAAAGAAAGAGAGATATTGAGGCAACTACTGAATCAGAATGCCAATGGCCACAGTCTTCATGCCTTTGGATTTCTTATTGACATTCTCGCTGACCATGTTTAAACAGGGGCTGTTAGGCACAGTCACTGTTTGCTGTGGCCCAGCAGGGCCGACCAGGGAAGGCCGTTCAAACCTCAACATAGATCACTCCTATGCAAGGAGGTGGGAGCCACGTGTTGGAAGGAAAAGGGTAAACTCTGCTCTCATCAGCTCTGCCATGAGCCTCCAGAAGTAGCACCGACACTCCGCTGCCCAGATTGACAGCTCAGCAGAGCAGAGGTGCTCCGAAAGGGACACCCAGCCCCAGAGCTCTGTGCTCTGGGAGTGGCGCGAATTTCAAGAGCATCAGACACATCAGCCTCAGGTATCATCAGCCTTACGTATGATCCCCACTCCCACTTCAAGACAACAAGAAGGTGACTTACTGGTGAGCACAGCAGCAGTCCCTCCCAGCGCGTCCAAAGACAGCCAGCACTTACAGCTGCCTCTGTGGCAGCAGCCTCAGTACAAGTCACAAGTGGTATTTCGTGGGACTATTTATCAATCAGTAAAATGGGTTGAATGCCTACCATGCATCGGAGACTCTGACTGGCACCAAGGGGAACTCAGAGATAAGAAAGGCAAGGTCATGGACCTTGTGATTTGGGGAGAGAAATGAGACAAATAAATATACAGGGCCTGGCCAGGAGCAAGTGCTCAGTGTATTTATTGCCTACACAAAGGATGGACTGAATGAATGAACCGGATATACACACAAGAAAGGCATGCGGTACAGAAGAAAGAACACAGGACTTGGAATCTGAAGACACAGTTGGCATCCTGGCTCACCCACATCCCAGCTAGGTGGTTCTGCTTGCTTCCAGATCCATGGTCCACCTGCTCTGTGCCCCATGGTGACCTGTGTAGATGCCTTCCCAGGGCTCCCTTGTGGTCTGTCTTCTGGCTGGGCTCAGCCCAAAAGGAATCCCTTGAAAGAGACTGGGGGTGAGGACAGGATTTCTTCCCCTCCCCGGGCTCAGCCTCTGGCAGCAGCCCTGCACCTCAGTCCTTGCACTCCCACAGGTTGCTTCCCACTTCTCACTGGGCTCGGGGAACATTATGTCCTGCCCCTGCCTTGCCCTTTGACCTCAGTTTCTGTTACTGATGTCTTAGTCCTTCAACACTCTGTCTTCCTTTAATCCTGTCCATACCTCTGGAAAAAGTTCCTCCTTGGAACTAACCACCTGAGTTAGTTCCGTTTCCTGCTGAGACCCAACTCATTAGGTAAATTAGAGGAAATCATGGAACTTCTCAGAGTGCCAGATTCTTTGACTATGAAATAGAATAATAACAATACTTAGGACTAGTGCTATGCCTGAACGTTGGCCCTAATAAACATTGGCTGCTTGAATAAATCAATGAGTGAATGAACTAATGAATGAATGAATGAATGGCTAAGAGGACTAATGATGAGGTGTTACTGTACTAGGTGTGAAAATGTCGGTTACTATAATTCTTATTAAATGGCAAATGAATCTAACAGTGTTAACTATCTCGATATCCTAAAATGGGCACGGGTCAAGAATCAGGAAATCTGATTCCACTTGCTAACTGTGTGGTCTCAGGAAAATTATCTCCCCATTCTGTGCCTCTATTTCTTCCCCTGTAAACAAAAGAGTTGCAGGTAATAACCTGTAAGTACCCATCCAATTTGGACATCCTATCAAGTACTCAGCATTCAGGGGACTGTACAACAATCTGAGTTGCAGAAGCTGGGGAAGGCCGTGGGGAGGAAGCAGGAACTTGAAGAATGGAACCATAACTGGGAGAGCAGAAGATCTCCCAATTGAGCGAGTCTTGGGGGGTGGATGGTGGGTCACCATGCTGGTGACTAAGAAGAACATCCAGCCGGAACAGAAGTTGCCCATGGGACATAAGGGGAAATGGCTGGGGACAGAGCCTGGAGACACATGACCATCAGACCGAGAAACTGAAAGGAACTGTGGAAGAAGGAGTCTGACCTCCTCAAGGACCCAAAGCTAGTGCAGAACTCGGGTTCTCGTTTCCTCTGCTGACCCACTGAGTTGCCATCAGGGTCTGTCTCTCCATCTCCTGATGGCAGTTGCCTTCTCCCTTTTGTGATTCCTTTCTTTGAAGGTCACTTGTCAAAGTAGGGTTGGAGGAAAATTTATTAAGTGAGGAAACCATTCGGTAACAGATATTTTTGGCACCATTCAAATCTTGGCAAAAGACATGTGCCTGTCGTTATCCCGCTTGCATTTTAAAATATGTTTGTTTGCAGCAAAGTCAAAGGCATGCTCACCAAAACAAAGTGATGTTTTTAAGTTCTTGAAAAACTATAAATCCAGGGAAAAAATGTAATTGGCCTCGAGCAAGAATATTCACTGGAGGATACTAGGCATTAAGTCAAAAGTACTTGTAAACAAATGATAAAAATTAACAATAAGGATGATAATGTAAAACTGCTGTAGGACAACTGGAGTTATTTGAAAAATGTGGCTAGCTGTGTGAGTTTAGTCATCTCCCTTCCCTTCTTGGGCCTCAGTTTCCCCTTAAAATAAGTTTCCCCTTCAAATAAAGGATTTAGACCCAATGGTGGGCTCTAGAAGGCTGTCCTGCCCTGATGGGGCCTGCGGGTCCCACGTTGCTGCTCTCTCCCCCTTTGTTGGGAACAGCATTCCCAGGAGGGCACAAGAGAACTTTCGTCACTTGTTTCGGCTCTTCTGATGTCCCTCCCTTGTGTGGTCTCTTGGCGCCCAGGAGCTGGAGAACCAGGGCAGCTGCTCAGCTCTGGCACTTTGGCTCTGGCCAGAGATGAAAGGAGTCCACACCAGCCTGCCATAAGGCTGGACCTTTGGGTAGAGGTCATCTGGACGTGTGCCGGCCTCACTGCCACTGCTGGGGACAGGACTTGTCCCCTCTTGCAGATGCTCACCAGAGGAGCCCCTGAACATTTTTCCAATCTCCTGTCCACATCCCGCATGACACCCAGAGGGGTCATTCCACAATGCTCATCTGTTACTGTTACTGTTATCTCCAGCTCAAATATGTCGGTGACACTCCCTTGCTAAGCTACGGCAATGTGGCCCTGAGAGACACTTAGTCACTGGAGTCACTAGAGAATGTTGCCACTCTCTCTCTCCCTCCCCCTGGCTGCCTCCTACTGCTCCTAGAGTCCTGCAGGAAGGAAACCTGTTCAGCCTCATTGAACTCAGTGTGTTTCCCAAATATATTCAACCAAAGGACTTTTTTTTTTTTTTTTTTTTTGCTTAGTAACTCCAAGAAATGTCCCTCAGAACTACAGTTCCCCATAATACGCCCTGGGTAATACTGCTGTGTGGATTAAAATCCAAACTCGCTAGTGTTTAGACAAGGCTTGTCTCAGTCCAGACCCAGATAACCCTCCACCTCGCTTCCCAGTACCCATCTGTGCACCCTAAATTCCAGCTCCATTGAATGATGAGTTGGTAGTTGATGACACGTGTGTGTGAGAATGTTGCAAAATATAAACCTGGAGAAAGAAAAGAAATACAGAGCCTTAAGCAAGTATATTACCTGAAGGATCCTAGGTCGCAGGCCACAAGCACTAGAAAAGTTAAACTATACTAATTATTTGCTCACTTTTTTGTCAAGAAACTAGGCGGTTATTCCCCCTCCAGGCCTTTGCTCCTGCTGATCCTACGGTCTGGAAACTTCCCTCCTTTCTTTACCTATAAAGACTGTATTCATCTTTCAAAGCTCTAAAGTGTCAGCTCTTCTGTGGAACCCCCAAATTCTGTATAAGAATTTATCGCTCATTGCTCTGAGTCGTCGTAGCATTTTTCATGAGCTTCTGTTAAAGTACTTTTCATTCTACTCTCCCCAATATGTATAATAAAAGCTATGATCTATGGGTGGCCCTCGGGACCACTATTAGGTGGCAGGCAAGAAGCTTACTGGTTAAAAAGAGATACAGTCCCTGTTGTCTGTGCTTCTGTGTCCCCTCCCCTCACCGGGGAGCCTCTTGGATCATCACGTCCTTGGAACCTTCTTCCCATATGCTGCTCCATCCCGAGTCTGTCTCAGCCACACATGTGGAATTAACTCGTGTATTGACTTGTCTCCTACTACAATAATCTGTTGAAATCAGGGGGAAAAAATGGTTCTGAGCCCTAAAAGGAGAGACAATGACGAATTAGCAATGGTTCCCAAATTAAGGGTTTACTTATTTGACATTTAGACAGTCACGAAGGACATGGAGAGCAAGGAAAATGGGCACAAAAAGTCCTATCTGAATAGGCAGAACAGATGTATACTTTAGGCTTTTGTTCAAGCCTTTTTCTTCTAGACCCACGCCTGCAAACCAGTGTTGTATTAGAGAGGGCAGATGAGAGGTGTGGGGCAGTGATGCAGAGGAACTACCAGCGACAGCGGGATGTGACAGTGAGCAGATGCCGTAGAACCAACACAGAAGGAAAACTGATTTGGAGCCGTTGAGTGGAGGGCGAGCAGTGCTGTGAACTTTGACTGTCTCGACCGCCATGGACTCCGTGACACTGCAGGTCAGCACGGACCGTCACAGAGACGCCTGGATTATCAAAAAACGTGAAACTACTTGTCGTGCCCTCTCTCTGAAGGAAGCCAAGTATATACAAGCTATTTGGGAAAAATTTCTTTTTAAAATAACAAATGATTGTTCAAAAGGTTAATATTTCCCCCAAGATAGCCTCTCAGTTCATGCCTTTTGTTCTCAAGTCTTTACTCAAATGTCACCTTCCTGAACACCTTGATTTAAATTGCTGCCTCCAGCCCCTGCCAACTGCCAGCACTACCCGTCCCCTTTTTCTACCACATTTTTCTTTGTACCAAGTATCACCTAATATAACTTAGTGCTTGATTATTATCCATGTCTCCCACCCCCCAAAAATATGTACTTTGTGAAGGTAGGGGTTTGTCTATCTGTTTTGTTCCCTGCTGTATCATGGTGAAACTGCATCTGGCATCTCTACAGGCCTTCATTATTGAATGAAAGCATGAATGAATAGATTCAGTTATTTGGAAGACATATTTAAATTTTTTAAAGTCATTTTATAGAAATACTGGTTAAATGCAGATAAACTATTAGAGAAATTTTTAACATAAGAGATATTAATTCATTGGCAATATTTATTAAGGTCGTACTCCATGCAGACACCTAGCATTGGAGATTTGCTTGTTTTGTTTATACTCACACTTCTGAAGCACCAAGTCTTCTACATGCAGAGTCACTGACAAGCTACACACACACACACACACACACATACATACACACACACAAACAACATTCCGGTTTCTTCTTGTAGCTTAGCTTAGATCTTATCAGCTCTTTCATGTAAAGGTTTGACAAGTCTGGTCTATGTCTCCTTCAGGAAATTCTTAGAAGTAGGAGATGATGATATTGATTAGAAATGATGGTGTTTGCCATGGGTGAGCCTAGAATCAATATTTAACCACTGTTTATTGGGATGTTGGAGGCAGCTATTGGGTTCCGAAGAGTATACTAGACATAGAGCCAGAAAACTTATGTCCTAGTCCTAGACCCATATCTTAAAAGTCGATTCTGGAAAGTGACTTAACCACAAATAGCTGGTTCAGAGGTCTTTTTTACAGAACTTTGTGAACTACAAAGTGCCATACAATTTTAAGGAATCATCATTATTTCGTTGAGAAGTAAAAAGTATATTACATGGCACTAGAAAAGAGTAAGATCTTGGTGACTCATGACTAAAAATTAATGGGTATTAATCTTGATATCCAGGCCAACTGAATATGGAATTTGTGTGACCTTTACTTTTAAGACATGTTTCATCATGTGCAAAAAAGACTTCTACCTAGTTCCAACCTGCTGGGCTGATTTCTCTGACTCTTATCATAACTGATAAGGTCTGTAGGTCTGCGGCAGTCAATAGGGATGGATTCCAATTGATCCTGCAGCCTCACTTGATGGTTCCCTAAGAGTGAAACTTTAGAGATCGAATCAAGATGGCAGAAGAGAAACACCGCCAGACAGAGTGTCTCTGCAGAAAAGACAGATTCTAAGAGAAATTAGAAGAAGCAAGAAGACGAGCATACATTGGATGAGGGTCAGAAGGAGGGGTACCTGAGACCATGGGAGACGCCACAGGAGAAGGTTGTGGAGGAGAACTGAAAGCAGAGACCTCTGGAACAGCCTGGAGACCAGCGGCAAGGGTAGGTAGAACAATTAACTCTCCCCTCCCTTGCATCTCGGACTGCTGGTGGGCGCCCCAGCGGATGGAAAGACCTGCGGACACCAGCCCAGAGACAGCCGCCACCAGTGAGCAGTAAGCCTGTAGCGGACGTGGGACCAGGCCCCCAACTCCCGCAGGGCACTTCCCTGTGCACACACCCGAGCCGCGCGGCAGGTGCCATATTGCCTCATTCTCCCCTCCTCCGACCCTATCCGCGGCTGCCGAGAGAGACAGTATAGCCACCAGCTTGAGGCACCTCCAGGGAGCGGGACCTTCCCTTTTGGGGCCCTACAGCTGACTGAGGGGAACTCAGACTGTGAGCTCCCCACCTGCCAGCCCTCCCAGGAGCTGCTGACCCAGTGATCCCAGGAGAACGGGGCAGACCCTGAGTCTGAGAGACATAGACCCAGCTTGGGCTCCCTGTGGGTGAATTGGGACCGGCACTCCTCTCCCTGGTGGGGATGTAGTTTGAACTCTGGGGCCCAGAGGTCAGACCTGCAGACCAGATCCTGTGCACCCAGGTCTCGCATTGCCCGGGGCACAGAAGGGGTATACTGGAACAGCCTACTGAGGTGTGTGTGCCTTCAGGGGAAGATCAGCGTCCCAGAGGGCAACCCTTCTTCCAAAAGGAGGCCGTGCGCCCAGCCCAGGTGGCGTTCCTGCGCAGGGATCCTCCCAGCCAGCATCACAGCCAGGGGAGGCCCAGTGGCATGAGGTCTGGCCTGCTGGCAGAGGCCCAGGAGTAGCCGCAGAGTTGGGGAGGGTGGAAAGAAGCGAGGCCCGCTCCACACTGCGGGTCTCAGACAGCCCCACCCCACACTCAGACTCTGACTGAGTGGGGCCATTCCAGCCCCTCCTTGGCAGCTTTTCCCGAAAGCAGAGAACAGAACTTTGACCCCTGCTAACGGCATTCGTGGTGCCCGAGGGCAGGCTTCCAGCTCTGCCCAGACTCTCTCCCAGACCAGCCCTCACTGAGGGGGAGAAAAGGACACACCTGGAAGTCCCAGGGCCTCACTGACCACCTGAGGCACTAGAGTGCCTCTCTACAGGAACAAGAGCAGGTCACAGGTCACAAAAACAACAGCGTAGCCTGTTCCTCCAAGCAAGCACCACCTACTGACAGGGAGGACACACTGCACACCCTCTTCATGGCACCTACTGACTCATTATACAGGGAGTGGTCGAACCTCACCGCATTAGGTCAACAGGACCCCTGGAGATTCAATGCGAAAAGGAAGATGTCATGACACACAGTCATCAGACTGACCAAAATATCAACTAAAGAGGCCTTCTAAGACTGTAAGACCAAAGAAGCAAGTAACATACAAGGGAAAGCCAATTCGAACAACACCAGACTTCTCTACTGAGACTTTACAAGCAAGGAGAGACTGGGCCCCCATACTCACTCTTTCTGAAACAGACGAATTGCCCAGCCTAGAATCTTATTCCCTGCAAACAATTTTTGTATATGTAAGGAGAAAGA